GTGGGAAGGCAAGGAGTGGCTGGGAGGGGAGGGGAGGGTAGAGGCCGGCGAAGTGCCCCTCGATGTGAGTAACATCAAATTGGCCACGCCCACCCAATCACATGACCACCTAGTCATGCCCACCCAGCCTGTCATTAGGCAGATCATATTAGTGGTCCGTGAGATTTAAAATTATGAATTTAGTAGTCCCTGAGGGCCAAAAGGTTGGTGACCCCCGATCTAAACATAATCTAAAACTTTAAAATATGGATCCCCTTAACGTTAGCCAAAATACAGTGAAATTTCCGCTTTCTACACCTTGATTAAATGGATTTCCCATGCAAATGGGTAAAATGCTCAAGTGCCATTTGGCATAATGATGGCATTACATAAACAATGCAAAAGGCCAGGTGTCAATTTATGTAATTTTGCCTGATAATGGCATCTTCATACAAATGAATATCAGACAATTAGTCCATTCAAATGAGATTTCACTTTAATTATTGTCATTTCCTGAAGAACTACTTTTGGTATCTTGGCTTGATGAATGTATGCAGATTGCAATTAAGGTTATCTTAATTAGGTTTTTTTATGCCTTTCCAGTTTTCTTTTGAAATGTCTGGGGTCTAATATATAACTTATGCAATTGTGTATAAGTTAGGAGCGTTTTTTAAATCATTCACAGATTTAATATATTAATTTGTATTCTAAGGGCAGAAAGTACTGTGTTTGTTCATTATGGAAGATCCTTGAAGGTATGTCTAAATTTTGTTGAGGTGAATTTAACTGGATACATGGTGTCAATATTTATAGGTTGAATTTCTACAGCAAACAAACAAAGACCTTGAAAAGCGCATAGAAGATCTTTTGGATAGCAGGCAAAATATGACCAGTGAGGTGGCTCATTTAAGCAATAAAAATGAAGAACTGTGTCAAGAATTGACTGAAATTGATCACTTGGCCCAACAGTTGGAGAGGCATAAAGAAATTGTGCTTGAAACGGCAGATAAAGAAATTGGAGAGGCGAAGGTAGGAAAATTTCGGGAATTACTAGAACATCAAGAATATGTTCCAATTACTTGAGAAAATGTTCCATGGTTCGTTTTCTATCACAATTCATTTTTTTGTTTTAAATCTTACATACTGTGAAGTTTTATGCTGAAGAAGTTTTCTTATATTTTTACTAATTAAATGAAATCAATAATGTTAGTTTTAATGGTTTTGTGCAGTTGTTCTGCATTACATGAATAAGAATTTTTATATTTTGCTGTTGATTAGAATGTATATAACATCTTTCTAGATTTGATAAGTGGAAAAGCTCTGAAGTTAGCCAAAAAACTAATTAAGAGTTTCTTAAAATATGGAATAGCATTAGCATTTCATAAAAGCTACATACAGATTACTTAATAGAACTGTGGGAATATTCAACCAAAAGAAAGCAGCAAGTCTTTCGTATGCAACTGATTAAGAGCTTTTCACTTTCAGGCAGCAGCTGCCAGTGGCCCAGCATTCAGTTAAGGTCATAGAGCTTAGGTTTTTAATTTGCAGTTAGGACTTTTCAGGGAAGCATTGGGCAGTGGAGAAAAGCAGTACAGGAAGAGAAAGATTGTTTAGTCAATCTTTCTGTTCTGGGGTCGCAGGAAGATATCATGGGATAGCAATTAGCTGACTGTAATGATGAATATGTGAACAAGAGACAAAGATGCAGCAGCACGGGTTATAAATCTGGGTATGGATTGCACTTTTTCATCACTGCCGTAAGTGGTAACGCTTGCTGTCCGAGGCAGTTGCTAAATAAGGAATACCTACACAGCCATCAAAATTCTTTTGGAACATTTTATTAAAATAATATTGAACATGAAGCAGCACTTGAATGGGGAAGATTACCAGGGATGTCAGGATAGACTGGGAAATTGGAAAAAAAATATATCCTGGGAGAAGGCAGTGATAAGCCACTTCCAAAATGTTGCCCAGAAAATTGCATTCAATCTATTGTTGAGCCAGGTACTGCCTATTCTATACCTGTGTGCATTTGTTTTTTCCGGACTAAGTGCAGGACTTTGCTTTTCTCACTACTGAATGGCCTCTTCTTGGATAGGGCCCATTCCAGCTATTTGGTTGTGCCAAGTATATGCTTTTCCTGCCTGCATCTTACATTCTGCCACTATGTGTTGGATGGTCTCCGGCCTCTCTGCATAGTCAGCACTTTGGGTCCTGTCCTGTTTCTANGCTTAGAGAGGGCTGAAAGCCCTATGAAGCGGTATATAAGTCTAACTGCTATTGCTATGCTATTTCTCACCGGTTCTGCTCCTTCGTTGTGTGTGCAAATAGCACCCACCTTAGAAAAGGACCAGGACCCTCCAGGAGGCCTCCCACCCGTGCCAAATCTACCCCTCCGAACTGCCCCCTCCTTTGGTGGCCTGGGGTGTTGGAGGAGAGGCAACAAAAGCTGCCTCGCCCACAGGAGCGCCACAGATTGTGAGCTTTCACAGACAGCAAAAGATCCCCCTGTTCTTTCCATGGGGCCCTTTGCAAGCAGCCCATTCCAAGCGGTGGGGAATCCCAACTCCAGGAAAGGAAAGGCTCATTTTCCCCCCGGAGGTTCAGTGCTTGGCAGAAGGCAGCCTTCTCCCTCCTGCTCAGTTTTGGGCATTGCTTTTAAAAGTTTCCTTATGTTCTCCTGTCCCTTTGTTTCTCAGCTCCACCTGGTGAGAAAGAAGACAAGAAAAGCCCCTCCATGCCTTGACCCCAAGGCAGGAAGCAGAAGCACCTGCCACCCCCCCTCCCCATTACTTCCAACTGGCTTCCAACCGGGTATCTGCCCTGTGCGGCTGTGGCACAACGAAGGTGGTGAAAAATGCAGGAGACGGTTGGCATGAAGGAAAGAAGCTCTCCCTGGCCTCGGAGAAGGATAATGAACTCTTACGCAGGACGTCGCTTGGTTTCATTTTCACTCTTAGGCTACTTTCATTCATGATTTTACATCACCAATTTTATGTTGTGCCTTTTAACTCATTTGCACTCCACGCAAGGAATTGCAGCTTTGAATTGTAACAGAACTGTAACAGAATCAAAATCAGATGTATTTATTTTTTAATTTCTCCCTAATTGGACTAGTTTGTGCTGTCTGTGCAAAGAGAGAAGACAGCTGTTGTGTCTCCCTTAGTTTGGGGTGGGAACAAAAGAAAGAAAGGAAGGAAGGAAGGAAGGAAGGAAGGAAGGAAGGAAGGAAGGAAGNTTCTAAGTTAGTGATATTGAATCATAAGTAATAAAAACATGGCTGGAGGAAATGAGATCCAATAATCAATAGCCAAGCTACTGATTTTGATGAATTAAGGCATTATGGAAGACCAGTATTTGAAGAGAATGTTCCAAAGACTAGGAGAAAATATTTTCCACTCACTATTTCACAAAAGGATATAAAATAATAAACATTCCCATATTTGGTCAGTCAATGCATTATTATGCTCAGTACTATAATAAAAGGGAAAGAAACTGACTAGTTAATCCAGTTTTTGTTTAGTTCAGTTTGATGTAGGTTTGTTTAGCTTTATTTCTATAGCTTTTTGTTTTCCTCTAATGATTTGAGTGTGTAAATGTATCTGGGATTAAGAAGCAGTGGGGCATCTTTTTGGTTACTATGTAAGTAATAGAAACTCTGTTTATCTTAGTAAGAAGGCAGTGTTGAACAGCTGTGAAAATCTCAAAGTAGTTTGTCTGGAATTGAGAAATATATTAAGAAGGAAATTTGAATTAATAAATCTATATAGCTGTTGAAATGCAATCTGTTCTCTTCTGCAATTGGTATGCCCACAGGGGATAGAGATCTTAAATTAGCTTAAAGTTAGCCAGTCCAGGGAATTCTATTAATATTGTCTTTTTACAATGTTTTAGAAAAAAGATTAAGTTAATTCTGAAAAAAGGAGTCATGACCCATACTCGTATTATCTCCTGGTTAGATTACCACAATATGGTCTATAAGAAGTTAGCCATGAATGCTCTTCAGAAGCTGCAATGGATCAAAATGCTTACTGGCAGGTGACTGCTTCTACATGTTCTTAATACTGATGCTGTGGAGCCCACATCTGCTTCCAATTGGCTTTCAAGTGCAATTCAAAGTGCTGATTTAATCTTTAGAGTACAATATTATTTGTCATCTGGGTTCTTGCTGGTGGATCCTACCCATCAACCATACACATATCAGATCCAGATGCTGATGAATTCTTCTCTATGTGAAATCTAATGGAGTTTCTACTTCTCAGCAATGGCACCCATCCTATGAAACTTTCTCATCAGAAATCTGGACAGTCCCATTGCTTCTGAGCCTAAGAAAACTCTTTAAAAATGAACTGTCCAGAAGGATATATGTCATCTGCATGCCTCTTTTTACTGTTGGTTATAGAAATTTATCAAAGGTTTAGCCATTTTAAGGTATTATTATTGGTGTTGTAGAAAGTTTTGGCTTTGACCACATGCTGCCCTGGTCCCTCTGAGTGTGATGGCACATAAATATAATAAGTAAATTCACATAGCTACTTCATTCCTGCTGAAGGTCAATATATAATATAGTGAAGTAACAAATTGAATACATGTAGTGATGCTGCGAAATGGCTACCTTGAGAGCTAGGTTCCATAAATAAATATAAGTAGCAGAGAGATGTTTTATTAAATTCAGCTTACGCAGTTCATGTAAGTGAAAGATGGCCTTTAGATACTGGAAATCCAATTTTCAAGTCCTCATATTTTGTCCCATTATATAAAGAAAAACACTTCATTTTTCGCACGGGGAAAAATCATGTACTACATTACTGAATTTGAGAGATCAGCTATTATTGTCTGAGTAATTGCAACATTAAACATGTGTCACATATGCTTGTTTTGTACTGTATACAGGGAAGGTAATTTTTCGAGTGAAAGCAGATGCACACTCGCATAAAATGTCCATAGGTATCTGGCACACTCATCCACATTTGCCTTAGTATTGCCACATATTGGTTCTCTCATGAAAGAATCAAATCAAATCAAGTTGGCAGACCAAAATATTTTGGCTTACACTGTATAATTGACAGATTGCTACACTGGCCAGGGTGAGCTGGATGTGGAATACTGTTTATTCATTTTCTGCTTTGAAATCTGAAATTTCTATCAACTGAAACAATAGGACACCAACTGATGATAAACTTTCAATAGGCTAAGGAATATAATCTTCTCTATTGTTTTAGTGCTCCAATATGATGGAAAATTACTTTAGATTCAGAAAAAGTAGCAAATGCAGAATTTTGGGGAAGAAAATAGTAGCATTATTCTGATTGCTAACTTGCATTTAGAAAGGGGAAAAAAGGCTAGCTTACAAAATGGAACAAATTTGCCATGCAGCAAAGTGCCAACAGTTCTGTACTGGATATAAAAACAGATGGTACATCGCAACGTGTAGAACTATCTGAAAAAGAAAATTAAGATAAAGAGCCAATTATTTAGGCCTTAAAAGTTTCTGTCAAACTAATATTCATCTGCAAGATAACCCCAAAGCTACTCACAATTTGGAAGCTCTGGGAAGCTTATGCCAAGAGTTTTACAGAATCCAATATTTACTTCCCAAGCTGTATTGTGGCATCACAATACAACCTTGTCAAGGCTGAAATGAATGCCTATGGCCAAAGCAGCACTGGATAATTAGCAATAAGACATCAAAGACTTCCCAAACCCAATTCCTATTAGTTATTTAATGTTTTAAAGAGATGCTATTATTAAACCACTGTACCCCACAGAGAGTAACAAACAAAATGCTGACATAATGCTATATATATACATATATATGCAGAAAAGAAGTTACTATAAATAAATGGAGCTCATTTCTGAATAAATGTCCTTAGATTTGTCCTACCCAAACCATGTAATAATTTGTTACTAGACAATATGGGAATTACAGTAATAAGCGGATATATTATATTGTGGGACTTAAACTTTTTCTTACTGCTTTTTCATTCTCCTTCATTTACTTCATGGTATATATAGGCCATACATAGGATAAATTTGAGAAATTAATCAATAAGTATGTCTATTTAAAATAATAATAAATGAAT